TCCCACAGGAGGTCTTACAGAGCGTCGTGAGCCTGAGTCTCGTCCTGCGTCGCCTATTCGTCCTGCTCGCACTGGTAGTCGTGTCCGTCGTGAGCGTCCTCCTCCTGTCCCAGGCACTCACTACATGACTCTGCGTCCCTCTACTGCTCCTCAGCGTGTCCCTCTACCGTCTCCTCCCGCGTCTTCTTTGCCTCGCGTTCCGGACCCTGGGTCTGACCGGTACCGTGCTGAGCACCCTACTGTCACACGTCTCCTCGCTACTGTTGTCACTGACCCTACCTTTGAGTCCTCGACTGCGTCTGCTCTGGTCGCTGAGTTGGTTGATTTTGCTGCTGCCTGACGTCTAGACTACGCTGCTAGCCTTGTTGCTGAGTCTGAGTCTGAGTCTGTCTGTCCTCCGTCCGTCGGGGGTGAGTGTGCTCTTGGCACGGACGTCCTTGAGGACAGACAGGAGGAGTTCCAGTGTCTTGCTGCTGCTTTACCCCATCTTGTGTCCTTGCTAGCTGCCCCTGAGGGAGACCCGGATGCACCAGACATCCCGACCCCACGCACTTACGCTGAGGCGATGGCGGGTCCCTACTCCTCTCAGTGGCAGACGGCCATGGACGCCGAGATGGCTTCCTGGAAGTCCACACGCACCTACGTCGACGAGGTTCCCCCTCCTGGGGCGAACATCGTCAGTGGCATGTGGATTTTCAGGGTGAAGCGGCCGCCGGGTTCTCCGCCTGTCTTCAAGGCGCGTTACGTGGCTCGAGGCTTCAGTCAGCGAGAGGGAGTTGACTTCTTCCAGACCTTCTCCCCCACCCCGAAGATGACTACTCTTCGGGTGCTGCTGCACATAGCCGCTCACCGCGACTACGAGCTTCACTCACTTGACTTCAGCACTGCTTTCTTGCAGGGCAGCCTGCACGAGGAGATCTGGCTGCGCCGCCCACGTGGCTTCACTGGGTCGTTTCCTCCTGGTACCCAGTGGAGGCTTCAGCGGCCGGTCTACAGTCTCCGCCAGGCTCCACGTGAGTGGCACGACACACTGAGGACTACACTTGCGGCTCTTGGGTTCGCGCCTTCTACAGCTGACCCGTCGCTGTTCCTGCACACCGACACTTCGCTGCCGCCGTTCTACATCCTCGTGTACGTCGACGACTTGGTCTTTGCCACTGCTGACACTGCAGGACTCGCCTACGTGAAGTCGGAGCTGCAGAGGAGACACACGTGCACAGACCTGGGTGAGCTGACAAGCTATCTTGGCTTGCGGATCACCCGGGACAGAGCACGGCGCACCATCACCTTGACTCAGTCACACATGGTGCAGCAGGTTCTCCAGCGCTTTGGCTTCACGTACTCCTCGCCTCAGTCCACTCCTCTGCCTACCGGTCACTCGCTCTCAGCTCTGCCTTCGGATGAGTCCGTAGAGCCGAGTGGCCCGTATCCAGAGCTTGTGGGCTGCCTCATGTACCTGATGACCTGCACTCGACCTGACCTTGCATACCCTCTTAGCATCCTTGCACGCTATGTCGCTCCTGGCCGTCACAGGAAGGAGCACATGGATGCCGCTAAGAGGGTGTTGCGCTACTTGTGCAGTACGTCGGGCATGGGGCTTGTGCTTGGAGGGCGAGACCGAGTTGTGCTCACAGGGCACTCAGACGCTTCTTGGGCAGACGACCAGGCCACTCAGCGGTCGTCTCAGGGTTACACCTTCAGCCTTGGCTCTGGCTCAGTTTCTTGGCGCTCTACACGCTCTTCTTCTGTTCTCGGCTCCAGTTGCGAGGCTGAGATCTACGCTACAGCCATGGCTGCCCAGGAGCTACGCTGGCTGACCTACCTGCTGACCGACCTCGGAGAGCCGCCTCGTTCTCCTCCAGTACTGTACGTCGACAACAAGGCTGCCATTGCCTTGTGTGAGGAGCACAGAACGAAGCACATCGCCCTGCGGTACTTCCTTGCTCGAGAGCTGCAGCAGCGCGGTCAGCTTTGTATTCGCTACGTGGCCACTGAGGCCAACACTGCTGATGTGTTCACCAAGGCGCTTCAGCCTCGTGACCATCAGCGCTTCTGCACTCTACTAGGCCTTGTGCCTACTGGACCTCACTTGCTTACCTCTTGACTTTGCTTGTACTGTGATCACTATATATATCTATACCTGCATGTTTACTCTTGCTAGGTTGTGATCACTGTATCTCTGGCTCTGTTATAAACCTGCATGTGAACTGGTCTTGTGACCACTAGCTTGTGCTCGGAATTTGTGTGGAATCCTCGAGATCCACCCTGAGCTTGTTGTTGCCTTGCTTTGCCTTGACTGGTCTTGTGACCCCTAGGTCTCCCCCACTTTGCCTATGGGGGTGTGTCAAACATTATATATGTTGGGTTTGTTAGGCTACAGTGGGTTAGCCTATATGGGGTACACAATTCTAGGGTTTGCTATTTGTACTGATTTCTCTGTTAGTTCAACCATTCCAGTCCGTTCATTCTGACATCGAGGTGGATGCCTTTTGCCATCAGTTGACTAATGTTGCCGAGCCCTTCTGCTATCAAAACCTTCGACATCAGCAGTATAACGTTTGTCTCCCGTGACTGAAGTTGAACCACGCCTTGTCGTCGTGTGCGCAGGTTTTGGTTGTTGGCGACGGTGATGACTACTTCGCGTTGGAGTTGGTACTCTCGCTGCACGAAGCGTCCTGAAGAGCACATATGCTGCCCGCAGCAACTGTCCAAGAACCAAGTGTCTTTTCCGGACGGCTCACTTTGGGCGATAGCTGCATACGTCGGGTTTGGTTAAAGTGACTCGCGGCGGGGCGTACTGTTGTCGAGTTGTTCTTCCGGTGAGTAATGTGGCGGTGACTCGGTGATGCAGGAGTCGGTCAGTCTTGCCATGCAACTGACGATGTTTCTTGCTCCTTGTGCAGGTTGTCCTGTCGATGTCGTTGAGACTTGTACTTGAGTGGTGGGATTCGCTTGTGTTGAGGCGACTTGACTGCTCGAAGGTCGAAGTTGCCTCTGCGTCGATGTTGACTGCTGTCGGTTGGGGCAGTGTGTGCAGGGGTGCCCTGACGTCTTGCAGATATGGCAGAACGGAGGTACGGGTTTTGGTTGATGTCGATTGTTGTTGTTGTTGTAGCGCCGTTGAGTGTGAAAAGCGAATTCCGGTGCTGACGTCTTCTTCTTGAGTCGTTCTTCTTGCAGGTCCATGTCTTGCTGCTCGGCGTGAATTTCAGCGCAAAGTGCTGCTTCAGAGATTTTTCCGTGAGCTCGGAGAATGGCTCGGGTGGAGCGCCATTGAGGACGGAGGCCGCTGATGACGACTGTTACGAAGGCTTCTTCGGCTATTGATCCTCCGCATCGAAGGAGTTTGTCGCGCAGTTCGCGACAGCGACTGATATACGCCATCCCTTTTTCGCCCAGTTTCATTTCGACCGTTGTCAATTGCGCCATTAACCGACTTTGGTTGACGCTGTCTGTTGCTTGATACAGGTTCTTCAGGTGATTGTAGGTGAGTTCGGCGGAGTTGCCGTATCCCCGGTAAGACCGTATATTCTGCTGCTGAGTCGGTGTGATGTTTCTCAGTAGGATTGTGTACGCCATCATTGACTGGTACGTATACTGCTGTTTGTCGTACTGTCTGCCGTGTGTTGGATATGGCAGGGACCCGTCGAAGAAGCCGAGAATTTGCGCGCCTTCCATCATCAGCTCAAACTCGAATGACCAGGTGAAGAAATCCTTTCCGTCGAAAGGTCTTGACGTTTGCAGTTTTAGGACATGCGCGAACTGCGACTGAACTTGAAGTGCGTCCATTGTTTTTTCTTGTCCAGGTTGCGGGTGTGGTGTGAAGCTGATGGAGCCGCGCTGAGGCTCATACGGAGCAAAGGTAGGCTGCTGCTGTTGATTTTTGCGCGCATATGATGAGCCGTCGAGGCTCATAGGAGTCACGTCGTTGTTGTTGTTGCTGTTGTTTGACTGCGCAGGTGCTGATTGCTGGTGTTGTTCGTAGAAGGACATGAAGGAGAAGAACTTCTCCATCATGTTTTGGTCGAAGCCTGCAGGTTGGTTCGCGGGAGTCTCGGTAGACGTTGCCCTTGGTCTTGTTGCCGTACCCTTTTCTGTCTGTAGGCCAGAGGCAGGAGGTGGAGTAGGAGTAGGAGTAGTGCCGGGAGAACCATTAGTGGAACTTCTTTCCTTCTGGGTAGCCATGTCTTCTAATGTTGTAAGTGACTTGATAGTAGTTGAGTTCGCCCTGCTAGCTCTCATACCATGTTGGGCTGAGAAAAGCCCTTAGGATCTTTTCAGGACTGAACTCTAGGTAGGACTTGTTGTAATAGCGGAAGCTTTTAATGAGACAGTTGAACCACCTTGCACTAGTATGTGAGGGCAAAGTAGATTGATTAAAACAAAGAGATACAAGGTTTTATAAGAGTACAAGGAATGTGAAAGATACAACTATAACTGTTTTACTGTTTGCTGTTGCGGTTCGATACAGTGACGACTCGGGCAACTGCTCTGTAACGAGTCAGTTGTGTGTCCTTGCTGTCGCGCTGTACTTGTCAGGTCAAAGGTCGCTGACCTTTGACTTTCGCGTAACCTCCAGCAGTTGCTTTCAACCTCCGAGGGTTGACTCGCCGGTGCTTCGATATGTTTCTCTTCGCTTGTTGCTTGGTGTTTCGACACGGCAGAGGCGCTTAAATCAATTGTTTCCAACAGCCGTCGCAACCCAACCTCACGGCTCGGCTGGTAACCCGCGCTCCGAGCCTCTGCTTCGACGTTTCCCTGTCAAATAATATATGTTGTATTTGTGTAGGCTGTAGTGGGGTAGCCAATATGGGGTACAACTCCTCTAGGGTTTGATACTTGTACCCAACTCTCTTTCAATGCACTCATTTTCCTGCTACTAGATTCTAACATTCCCAACCTCAGTCCCAACCTCAGTCACAGGCCCGTCGCGCGTCAGTGTCAAATGTTGTTGTCTTAGTGAGGTGTGTTATAACTGTTAGGGTACAACTGTTAGGGTTATGTTTATCCCAACCAACCTTAGTCAAACCAACACTTTCATTCTTGACATGGTATCACCTAGGTTAGGATCCTGTGGGATCCCGCTATAAAATCTCGCGTCCGTTACACGTAGTCTACCATTCCCGTTGCGCCTGTTTCATCCCGTCGTGGCCCCTTGTAGCCTTTTGTACCTCCTGTAGCGCCCTTAGCGCTTGCCCGTTCCGTCCCGAAGCGCCCGTAGCGCCTGTAGCGCCCTTAGCGCTTGCCTGTTCCGTCACGAAGCGCCCATAGCGCTCGTAGTGCCTGTCGCGTCGCGTCCCCTGCCCATCGCGTCGCACTGCCCGTCCCGTCCCCTGCGCGTCGCGCTGCCGTACCGTCCCGTCCCCTGCGCGTCGCGCTGCCCGTACCGTCCCCTTCCCTTGCGCGTCGCGGTGCCCGTCCCGTTCCCCCCATCCGTCAGGGCGTCGCGCTGCCCGTACCGTCGCGTCCCCTGCGCGTCGCGCTGCCCGTCCCGTCCTCTGCGCGTCGCGCTACCCGTCGCGTTTCGTCCCCTGCCCGTCGCATCTCGTCCCCCCCTCCCGTCGAGTCACCCCCAGCCCGTCGAGTCGCCCCCAGCCCGTCGCGTCGCGCCCTGCTGTCCCGTCGAGTTGTGTCCTACCCATCCCGTCGCGTCGCGCCCTGTTGTCCCGTCGCGTCGCGCCTTCCGCTCAACCTATCGCACCCTGCTCGGACCCTCTAGGCGTTTAGGGTTCCGGCAGCAGCTGTCTCCACCTTTATGCTTCCGCTATCGCGACCCCTAGGGTCCTGCGCTTTGATGCTGAGGGTAGGCCGCTCGAGTTCTCAGTCTTGCTCCTGCGTGCGCGCCGCCTTCTAGAGATCCAGGTTCAGGCACACGAGACTCTGTGGGCGCACGCTTCCGGTGACCTTCCTGAGCCTGCTGACCCTGCACCCTTAGCAGCTGACCCCACACCTGCAGACAGTGACCGTTATGCACGCGAGCATGCTGACGTGACCGCGTGAAAGTCGCGTGATGCTGCGGCCTACATCGCCCTCAGCAGCCTCCTCCTTGAGTCTGAGGAGACCCACTTTACTCAGGTTCGCAGGGCCAGTGAGTTCCTGAGTGCGATCAAGGCCCACTACGCTACTCCCACCACTGTCTCTCTTGGTCGCCTGTTCCTTCCGTTCCTGTTTCCTGACCTCGCCTCGTTTGAGCGCACTACTGTCTTGATTACTCATCTGCGCTCGCACGATTCTAGCTACCACGCTACTTGCACTGACGCACAGCTTGCAGTGCTCCCTCCCCCCAAGGCGATTACTATCTATTTCATCGCCACTAGCCTCCCTGACCGCCTTGCCTCGGTTTGTGACGTGCTCCTTCTGAACCACCATAGCGAGCTCACTATCGAGGTCCTTGAGTCTGCCCTCAAGGACGTCGAGAGCAACCTCCGCTCGGTAGCCTCTGCCTCTGGTGTTGTGCCCCCTCCACTGTTTCACGGGTGCACTGTCCCTCAGCTCGCCTCCCTCGCCGCTACTGACGTGACCGCAACTGCTGTTACGACGTCTTCGCGGTCTCGGGGTAGGAGTGGCAGGAGGGGCGGTCTGGGTGTGGGTGGAGGCGGCGGAGGCGGTGGGGGTGACGTGGCGAGCGGCGGCAGCGGGAGTGCAGGGGCTGGAGGAGTGCCTCGTGCAGTGGCCGGTGACTCCCCTGCTGCAGCTGGTGGAGGTGACGCCCGGGTTAGTCAGTCACCTACTAGTCTGCCTGCCGCAGGGGGTGGAGCAGCGGCGTGGTACCTGACTCAGCAACAGCTGCAGCACCAGCAGCCCCTCCCCTCGCAGCAACCCCTCCCCTCGCAGCAGCAGCAGCAGCAGCAGCAGCGGCGGTGGTGGCGGCAGCAGCAGCAGCAATAGCAGCAGCAGCAGCAGCAGCAGCAGCAGCAGCAACAGCAGCAGCAGCAGCAGCAGCAGCAGCAGCAGCAGCAGCAGCAGCGGCAGTGGCAGCAGCAGCGGCAGCAGCAGCAGCAACAGCCACTGCCCCCGACCCCTGTCACTGCCCCCCGTCAGGTCCCTGCGTCTCACCAGGTTGCCGCGTCTCCCCAGGTAGCAGTTTCTAGTCCAGTTGCTGCGTCTTGCTCCTGTCGGTCACTTGCCCACCCCACCGTTCTGTGGCACCACCGGATGGGGCACCCGTCCATTCCTCGCCTGCGCACTATGTCTAGTCAGCGTCTTGTCTTAGGCCTTCCGTCACTGCCACCTTCGCTTGCCCCACCCTACGGTCCTTGCGTCGAGGGTAGGCTGCAAGCCACCCCTCACTCCTCCTCCTTTCGTCCGGCCACCAAGCCCTTCGAGACTCTCCACTTGGACGTCTGGGGCCCCGCACCTTGCTCTGGCCCTGAGCAAGAGATTTTCTTTCTGGTGGTCGTTGACGACTACTCTCGCTACACCACAGTGTTCCCCTTGGTGACTTTTCCGGTGGTTACTTACCATTGCGGACACTCGTGATCGTCGTTTCCGCTGTCTTCACTCTGACCACGGGGGTGAGTTTTGCTCCGACGTTCTCGCTGGATTCTGTCGCGAGCAGGGCATCCGTCAGTCCTGGACGCTTCCAGAGTCCCCACAGCAGAATGGGGTTGCTGAGCACCGCATAGGCTTGGTCATGGAGATCGCCCGCACCTCCATGATCCATGCCCGTGCGCCCCATTTTCTGTGGCCCTACGCGGTTCGGTACGCCGCTCACCAGCTGAACATCTGACCGCGTGTTTCTCGGCCAGGGGTTTCACCGACCGGTCTTTGGACTTGGTCCCCTGGTGCTGCGTATCTGGGGTTGCTTGGCACTTGTTCGCGACACCTCCGCGGACAAGATCTCGCCTCGTGTCGTTCCCTGCGAGAGGACTCCTCTGACTTCACCTTTTACCACCCTCCCCTTCACCAGTGTTTTGACTCCCGTGACGTCACTTTTAACGAGTTAGTCCCCTACTCCACCAGGTACCCCTATCGAGGTCTCCAAGGTGCGCTTTGTGGCTCGAGGTTTCAGTCAGCGCGAGGAAGTTGACTTATTTCAGACCTTCGCGCCTACCCCGAAGATGACCACTCTTCGGGTGTTACTGCACGTAGCAGCACAGAGAGACTACGAGTTATTCTCCCTTGACTTCTCTACTGCTTTCCTTCAGGGTAGCCTACACGAGGAGGTCTGGTTGCGTCGTCCCTCTGCCTTCACTGGCACTTTCCCTCCTGGGACCTAGTGGAGGCTCAGGCGGCCAGTCTACAGTATCCGTGAGGCTCCACATAAGTGGCATGACACCCTTAGGTCTACCCTGTCTAGCCTCGGTTTCAGCCGTTTTCTGTCGACCCGTCGCGGTTTGTTCATCGTGGCTCCATACTGTTCTTTGTACTGGTCTACGTCGACGACCTGGTTTTCGCCACTGCTGACAGGGTTGCTTTGGCTGACGTGAAGTCCGAATTGCAGAAGAGACACACGTGCACTGACCTTGGTGAGCTGCGCCACTACCTTGGCCTGCAGATCACCAGGGACAGAGCCGCTCGCACCATTACACTCTCACAATCACACATGGTGCAGCAGGTCCTTCAGTGGTTCGAGCTTCAGCACTCCACAGTACAGCGCACACCTCTTGCCGTTGACCACAGACTCACTGGACCCTTTCCTGACGAGCCGTTTGAGCCTAGTGGTCCCTACGCAGAGCTTGTGGGCTGCCTCATGTACCTGATGACTTGTACTCGCCCGGACCTCGCTTTCCCTCTCAGCATCCTTGCTCGCTTTGTTGCGCCAGGGAGACACCGTCCAGTTCACTGGACAGCTACTGTGAGGGTGGCGAAGTATTTAGTGATGACATCAGGCGTGGGGCTGGTTCTTGGAGGGAGACATGACGTCGTGCTTACTGGTCACTGTGACTCTTCTTACGGTGACAACGCCGAGACTCACAGGTCTACTCAGGGGTACTGCTTCAGCCTGGGCTCTGGAGCTGTTTCGTGGAGGTCCACGCGTTCCTCCTCGGTCTCGACCTCTACTGCTGAGGCTGAGATCTACGCTGGAGCCATGGCTGCACAGGAGCTGCGCTGGCTGACGTCTTTGCTCACTGGCCTTGGTGAGCGGCCGAGCTCTGCACCGACCTTGTTCACTGACAACAAGGCATCGATTCTCCTTTGTCGAGAGCCGCGACTGGAGAGCAGAGTGAAGCACATTAACGTCAGGTACTTTCTTCTGCGAGAGTTGCAGAGGCGTGGACATGCTCGCTTCGACTTTGTTGAGTCCGAGGCTAACACTGCAGACATCTTCACCAAGGCCCTGCCGCTTTGTGACCACAAGAGGTGTTGTGTGCAGTTAGGTCTTGTTGACACAGGTTCTCGTCTTGCATAGTCTTGAGTTCTTTCTTTGCTTTGTTTGTACACTTGATATATACCTCTGTAAATTCTTGAACTAGGCTTGTGGCTCTTGTGTTTGTGCTCGGAGTGTGTGGTGACGTTGTGATCCACCTTGAGCTTTGTTTCTTTGTGACTGGTCTTGTGACCGTACACTTTTGGTTTTGCTTGACACCCCTCACTTAAACAATGGGGTTGTGTCAAATGTTTTAGTCTTAGTGAGGCGTGTTATAGAGGTACAACTGTTAGGGTTAGGTTTATGTACCCCAACCAACCTTAGTCAAACCAACACTTTCATTCTTGATAGCCACCCACGGTTCGTTACCGTTACCACAGTGGCCTTCGCTATATAGCTCTTGCTCACTTCTTCACTCATTGTACCGTATCGCCCCGGATAGTAGTGACGTCCTATTCAAGGCGCCGGCGCTTCTTTCGGGAGCCATGCGCTTATGGCCGATCCTCAATTATAAGCGCACCCCCTGTAAAACCCTGACTTATTATAAGCGCATGTCTATTTTTTTTTCCAATCTTGATTAAAACAGTAACGAAATAGAATTTTGCAACGAATCAACACCCTTTTTTAACTTGTTTGACTCTCGAGGGTCTCACTGGTTGCGCGTCCAGTTAGGATGAGCTAGCACGCTTGCAAAATGATGTGCCAAAGCTCTGTGCACCGTCAGAGCATCGCCCTCGCGCGATTCTAATTGAGGACGCTGTAAAATATCGACTCGATTGAAGTAGCGAGGTTGGGATGTACAGTTTGGCGCGTGTAATTATATTTTATGTATTTGCTCTTATATAAGTGCATGCACTTATGCCCTAGCCTCAATTACAAGCGCCCCCTATAAAAAAAAATGTTTTTATTATAAGGGCATATGCGCTACTATCAGGGGCGATACGTACTGTTTTGCTTCGATAGTGCAATTCTCACTTGCTCATTCAATTGCACTCGTAACACTTGGTATTCAGAGCCTACGATCTTCTCCCGGACCGCACCCATACATTTGCTTCCCCCACTATCTCAAATTTTGGAGGGGGTAGACGTCTCCAACCCCCATGATATCAGGGTAAAATATCCTGATTACCTTGATTTCAGTATAGTGTCAGGTGTTTCTCATGCAATTTCAGGATAATGGTATATTTTACCCTGTCACTTCAGGATTTTTTTTGTGTTGAGCCCTGAAATTTTAGGAACGCCATAAGAATTTGCCCTGAAGCATCAAGACGAAGATAGAGGACTACCCTGATGCATATGCAGAAACGGAAGGGGTGTGGGGGGGTTGGGATGGGGGAGAGGGGGAAAGTGATGAGGGAGTGTGTGTACTGGTTTTGTATTCGCCGAGGATTTTGCTGCTTCGTCGTTGTACCGTATCTGTACCATGCATGCGCCGAGCTTCCCAGTCATACTATCGTGCCTTCCCCTCCACCTCTCTCATATCTCGTGATTTTTTTGCCCTGAGAAATCAGGATGGACTCCTGTTGGTGCCTTGAAATTTCAGATGGGCATAAAAATTTGCCCTGAAAATTCAGGGCATTTTTGAAAAATTTCTAGAGTTGCCCTTAGGGCTTAGGATGCCCGAAATCCTAGCACAGGCCTTGGACGTCTCTCACGGAACAAGCACCGCCGCTCGAAGTGCTCTCTCGTAAGCACGCACGGCCACAACCGAGGCTCCCGCTGAGCTCATTTGATAGCAGCCCCCGCCATGGCCGGATTTAATCTCGCCACATTGACGCAGGAGCAGCTCGACCGCCTCGTGAGCCAACTCCAGAATTGGCTCTCAAAGTCGCGACGCTCACGGCAAAACTCGACGCTGCCCGTTGGTAATCAGCAACGATTGCACCCGCACCAACACAGACGCCTCGAAATGCACCTGCACAAACGGATGAACCAATCTTCATCTCTTCCGGCACACCGTCACAGCACGACAGCGTGCGACAGCGCTCAGGCGCAGCCAGTGATGGCGCCGCCCAGTCAATGCCTGGCATGGCGAGAGCCAGGGCCATTTCGACCGTGAATACGCCTCCCGAGGGTCGTCGCCACGTCAGATTTACTGCGTCTGCGGGCAATGAAGAACTCCACGAGCCGATGCCGCTCAAACCGCAGCGCTCGCCCTGTTTCGATCCAAGCCAGCGCGGAGGTCCGACAGTTCAGTCGTGGGTCTTCACGATGAACACCTTCTTCGACGCGAACTACGTCAGTTCGGACGCAACTGTTGGTGCAACCCTACGGGTTGCACTCGGCTTGTTGTCCGTGTGTGTGCATGCGTGTGAGCATGAAATGGCATGAGGGCATGAAAAATTTATGTATTTCATGCTTATATTAGTGTGTGTATGATGTGTCACTATGTCGAGTGTGTGTGTGTGTGTCGAGTCAATAGCGAGTTATCGCTAGTCGCGTGTTACGCGGTCATTTGTGTCTCGCGCGGTTTTTATTTTGTCGTGTGTCGAACGTTCGGCGTGTCGCAGGTGTGTGTAGCAGACCCATCAAGAACTCAAGGATGAGTTTGTGATGAAGAACCCGAGCCTTGGTTTCAAGCTTCAAGTGATTTCGAAGCTCGCCAAAAGGGTACACTTCAAGATAGTGAGAATAGTTACATTACTTTGTGTAGTGTAACATTTGACTTAGTGTAGACCCTTGTGAAGGGTAGTTTCGAGACCCTTCGTGGTTGGGGACAGTGTGATACTGCTCCACATCACTGTACCTCGACTTTTGGGGTTTCTAGGAGCTGGAAGTCAT